GTTTGTGATAATTCACTGTGAATATTTGAGGTTGTTTTATATGATTTATATGTTTGTTTGAGTAGTTTTTTAAAGTCTTCAAATGTAGTAGGCTTGGCTTCTGTCAGAATTTTATTTTTTACTTTTTCTGATAGCTTTGTAGCTAAAACGAATTTAATTAATAATTGTTTCTGCTGCTCATTCTCTAAGGTGTCGTGATAGAATTCAATTAAACCAAGGTAATTTTTTACTTCAAGATAATCCCCTTGAAATTCCGGAATTAGCTTGGAAGCAGTTACTAAATCAAATTTTGACATTTTTGCTTTAACTTCGTCAACTTTGTGTTTTAAAAGTAATTTTATTCTTCCTAAAAGCAAATCAAATTCATACTCCTCCTCTTTTTTTACTATTTTCTGTCGTACATTTAATAAGTCCTTTAAAGTCTTGTCTATGTATTCGTCTGTATAAGTTCTGTTTGGACTCTTTTTTAAATTCGCAAGTATCTTCGAAGCATATTCTATTTCCATTCATTTATTATGTATAATTTTCATTTATGATAGATGTTATTTTTAAATATTTATTTTATTTAACATTTCACCAAAACATCCCTGATAAAGGCATATTGTAACAAACTTTTTCATCTTCATTTAAGTAAAATTTAATTGTTATTATTTTAAAATTTTATTTTATTTTTTTTTACACTATTATTTAAATTCATATTTTTAATTATTTGTTTTTTAACATAAGTCTTACAATGCTTATTTATAAAATATATGATTACAATTAATATAAAAACAATCGAAATAAATGCTATTATATTATTTATTAAAAGGTTGTTGCTGCTGCTGCTATTGTTGATATTGTTGTTATTGTTGTTCATGGTGATTTTCTTCTGCTGTTCATTGGCTTTTGGAAGTACAATTGTCCAAACCATGCCTCAGTTGTTATGTTTATTTTTCTTTAATTCTATCAGTTCCGCAATTAGTTTTCGTTTGTTCTCTCCAGTGGCTAATGGAATTACCCTGTGAAGCTCACCAATCTTCCTTCGTAGTTTCACCGCCTTACCTCCTCTGGTTTTTCGTTTTGGTGCACTATGCTCTGTGCTATCATTTTTAATCTGTCTTTTTCTGTAAGCTTCTATTGTTAGTGGCTTAGGTCCAGCCGTGAGCGGAGTTGGGACGTATTTTGATATTGGTGTGGATGACGTTGTCGTCAGTGCTTCAGGGACATATTCATCAACTATATTTTCTTCTTCGAGGGATCTTGGGTGGTTCAGCTGTTCAAACAGGTTGTCCAGATCTTCTTTTGAATATTGCTCCGACATGAATATAATTAATTTATTTGTTTTTTAGTTTTTATTCTTTGCAGTTTGACATTTTGAAAAAATGTGAGTAAATGGAGGTTTATTTTATAAAAACAAATATTAATTACTCATATATTTATTCATAACTAGGTTAAATCATAAAAATGCAACGCAAAACAGCATTCTTCCAATAACAGAAATGCTACAACTGCAGATGTCGTTTTGTGCCAATTTGGCAGGATCGCCATGTTAAGTTTGGTTTTTGATTCATTTCCCTTTTTTTTAGTATTTTAACTTTTGGCTTTTAAGCGAGCCACGCTAAAAGGATGATGGCCTCAAGGCCTATTTTTATTGATGAGACAAGTTAGAAAAACGAGGCAATGCTGCCGATTCTTGATTCAAAACAAGTCTGTTTATTTCAGTGCACAAACAATGCTTTTATAATAAATTTTACATTTCTCCTTAAATCTAAGACACTCCCACTTTTCAGTTACTTTTCCAACATTTTCATATTGTGACCAATCATAATTTATTTTTTTTTTTTTTTTTTTGTAGTTTTGCATTTTCTAAATGTTCTTGTAGTAAAGTCTCATTGCTTTTCTTTTACTCTAATTCAATTTATATTGACTTCTCATATATTGAGAAATATCAATTGTGAAACCAATCGTTTCACAGTTGCTCTACAGAGTTCATCGTCTTCAGAAAATACAACATTACAAATGTCTTCACAAAAATGACCCACATGTGCAAGCTGCAATTTGATCGTTTCTACAAAGCAAGTGGCCGCTAACGCTTTGCCCAATTTGTGACATATATATGAGTCATAACTCTTTTTTGCTTGCATTCTTGTTATATAATATTGCAGTCACATGTGTGTTTACATTACTGACCTTACTTACTAATTATTTGTAGACACACAACATGGGAATGAAATAGTGCTATACAAGTTTGTCAAATTTACAAACATAAACAGTGTGGTCTTGTCTTCACATCTGATGATATAAAGTTGAATATTTATAAGGTTGTTGGGCGATTATATACAATTGGAATTTTTACTTGTAAATTAACCGGAAGTCCAGTGTCTTCATCTTCCGTCTTTTCTTTATTCTTATTCAGGGATGCATTTACATTATTATTATAATAACAAAATTCAGGGTTGTTATATTAATATTATGATCACATATAAAGGGGTTAGCAATAAATCTGCGTTAACTAAACTACCCGTCCACATATAGGAGATTGGCTGCGAAATTGGCAATCAGCTGTCAAGATTATTTTGACAAGTTTTTTGTTCATGGACTTTAGTTTGGTGGAACAGAATGCTTTCAATTGCACTTAGTGGTTTACAAGCATCAGCATTTTTATACGTTGATGATATAATAGTTTTTGGAGCTAGTTTAAAAGAACACAATAAGAATATTGTAGAAGTTTTTAAAAGGTTACGTAAATATAATTTAAAATTGAATCCANCTTATTATAAAATATAATAAAGAATTTCACATGCGTATTGCTGCCATAATTTTTTTCGATCTCAGTAGCCGCCTTTTTCGGATCTCTTCCAACTGCCTATTACTGGCAGCCAATTGCGCAATTAACTGAACTATTGCATCTTTTTGCCTTCTTTCCATATCGTTAATAATTAATTATAATTCAGCAAACGAAAAACACTTAAATGTTCCACCAAACTAAAGTCCATGAACAAAAAACTTGTCAAAATAATCTTGACAGCTGATTGCCAATTTCGCAGCCAATCTCCTATATGTGGACGGGTAGTTTAGTTAACGCAGATTTATTGCTAACCCCTTTATATGTGATCATAATATTAATATAACAACCCTGAATTTTGTTATTATAATAATAATGTAAATGCATCCCTGAATAAGAATAAAGAAAAGACGGAAGATGAAGACACTGGACTTCCGGTTAATTTACAAGTAAAAATTCCAATTGTATATAATCGCCCAACAACCTTATAAATATTCAACTTTATATCATCAGATGTGAAGACAAGACCACACTGTTTATGTTTGTAAATTTGACAAACTTGTATAGCACTATTTCATTCCCATGTTGTGTGTCTACAAATAATTAGTAAGTAAGGTCAGTAATGTAAACACACATGTGACTGCAATATTATATAACAAGAATGCAAGCAAAAAAGAGTTATGACTCATATATATGTCACAAATTGGGCAAAGCGTTAGCGGCCACTTGCTTTGTAGAAACGATCAAATTGCAGCTTGCACATGTGGGTCATTTTTGTGAAGACATTTGTAATGTTGTATTTTCTGAAGACGATGAACTCTGTAGAGCAACTGTGAAACGATTGGTTTCACAATTGANTTTTTGACAACAGACGCTTCAAATTCAAGGAGAAATCGGTAGTGATAAACCCATAGCATTTGCTAGTAAATCATTAAATAAATATGAAATAAACAAAGCGATAATAGAAAAAGAGTTGCTAGCCATTCATTGGGGAATAAATCATTTCAGACCATATTTGTATGGTAAAAGATTTATAGTGTATACAGATCATAGACCATTAGTTAGTTTATTTACCCATAAGAACCCATCATCTAAATTAACTAGGATAAGAATAGATTTAATGGATTATGATTTTGACATTATATTTAAGCAAGGTAAAATGAATACCAACGCCGATGCGTTGTCAAGAATAGTTTTAAACTCGGAGAAATTAAAAGACATGGTACCAACAAATAATATTAATGTGTTAACACGAGGAATGAAAAATAAATTGACAGATAATAAAGAAGAAGAAAGACCCGCGGACACTTTACCATTGGAGACTGATCATCTTCATATATGGGAGTGTATTTCAATATCTGATATTAGAGAAGTAAAAAAATGAAAATTTGAGAATAAAGATAAAACTAAAACTGGCCAAAAAATTTAGTTTAATGAATTTAAAAATGAGTTACATGTTAGATACAATCATAAGACATTATCAGAGTTAAAATTNTGCCCATAGTCCTCCATGCATTTTATATGGGGAAAAACTTTTCGTGGAAATGGTCTAGAATTTTTAAAAATCAATATTTTTCTATCGGAAAACTCTGTTTATCTGCAGGAGATCCCCAGTAATAATACCCAGTTGTTAATTTAACCATTTTTTCATCGCAACTATAATTTATATG